GAGCCCTGGTGGTGTCAACACTGGTGAAACTGGAGACAGCCCATATCCTTTGTACCTCTGTACTAGTGGTCAGGATACTCTGCCTGAACAGAGTTCTATACTCACTCTTTTCTTCCTGGACATACCTGTCCTTGACATCCCTGGGGAAGAGTCCCTTCTATCACAGCACTGGGATTTTAAATCATAATGGGAGGTAGGAAATCCCACTATATTCCTTAATTTAGTTGATACTAGACAGCTTTTGTGCTTAGGCTCTTGGCTAGAAGTCTGGATAGAAGATATGTTAACTAACATCCTGAAAGAAACTCTTCACATTGGTAAAGTATGACCTACTTTTTGGTGGGTAAAAAAATATTTTTTCTAAACAGTAATTCAGTATCTCTCACAACAATTTGAAAGAAATAGAAATTTTGTTGACATTTTCTTTAGTCGTAAGCACTTTTTGAGGAAAATAATCAAAATGTTGAACAAGCACAGAGATGGGAACATCAGGTCTGTAACCAATGAATAAAAGGTTGGATGACATTACAGTCTGAGAGTTTAGCTGGAAAGAAAACACATAGCATAGGGAAATACCTTAGGGGCTGTTATATACTGGGCTCAATAGAGTAAGAGCATAGAGTACGTAATGGGCTTTGTCAAGCATTGTTAAGATTGTTTGGTGTCAGATTTTAAGGACCCTTAAGTTTCATGTTAAGAAGCTCGGGCTTATTCTCATGGGCAAAGAAAATGTAAGGTTTGGGCAAATATATGGGAACAGATGAAAGTCTCTGAAAGCCGAGTGATGGACAAGGATATTATTTTAAGTCCAGAACACCAGACATGTTGAATGCCATTGGCGTGGCCAATGGGATAAGGAATGGATTTTAGCAGGAATGTTTTTTGGTACTATGCACTGTGGATACTTGTGGGGTTGGAAGTGGGCATATCAATCTTTTAAAATTTATTCTGCATGGCTGGTAAGAATATTAGCAATTGTTACCATTGATTAAATGCCTACTGTATGTCATATAAATAATTACCAGTGCTCACAACGCTGCAAGTCATTCTCCTGTTTTCTTAATAGATGCGGAGATAGGTGCTTAGAGCAGTTGAGGAAGTTGTCCAATTTTCCAAAACTATGACTACAGCCAGGTAGGTCTAGTGTCCTTTTTGGTTGGAGACTATGATTCCTAACTTCATCTCTGCTACTCCCCAGTACTGAAGTTTCTGAAACAAGTGAAAACAGGCTTACTAACTTAGATCTGTTCCTAACAAAAGCTGTGGTCAGGGAAGTGAGCTTGCGTTGTTACCTGATTGACTCTTAAGTACTATAAAAAATACACCCAGGAAGTTTATAAGTCTGTATACAGATTGTATCCCATACTAGTGAAAACCACCACTGCAGGCCTGGTGGGAAAGACTGAAAGAGACATGATGGAGAAGCTGATCTGAGGATCAAAACATGATCTCTGGTCACAATTTCTGGTTTTCTGCAAGTTGTTGATAGACAGTGCCTTAGTAGATGGGGGTGAGGGTTGAGGCTTAACAGTGGAAGAGCCTTTTGTTTGTTGCCTGTTGTGAGAATCATAGAAAAACACTGTTCTGTGAACATTCATCTCTACTCTTTTCCCTGGAAGAGTTTTGAAAACAGATCTAATTGTGCATTGAAACCACACTCATATTTTCTGGCCAAATACTGTACCATAAGAAACTGAGAACATAGAGGAAAATCAATTCAACTGCATACCAACTTTCTCTGAAGTCACATCAGATAGACATTACTTCTTTATAAGTCTGGTACTTCCTCCACTGACTGACAGTGAGGTAAAATCTATCTGTAATCCATCAGTAACCTAACTGGTCATTAGGCTTCACCTAGACTTCTACCTTCCACATTCTTACATGTCCTTATTTCATTGCATTTTATTTTTCTGCCCATGTCTTTCTTTTTTTTTAACTTTCTACATTTTAGGGATGATTTTTAAAGTTTTATTTTTTTTGTTTTTTTGAAAAGTATCATCTCAAGAAGCCTGCATAGTTTCTCACACTTCATAAGTTATCCTAGTAGAAATGTTAATTGCTGGGGATGCTATTTATCCTCCATTCTGGGATGCTAAAATAAGTTTGTAATAACCATCATCAGAGCAAAAGGTGAAAAGTTATTTTGGCCCTCTTTCCCTCAAAACCTTGAGACAATAAGACTTAAGATATAAGGAATGTTAAAGTTTTTTGGCATGACAAGTAGAGCTGAAAGGCACTTAGAAGTTGGATTTGAATATAGTTCTTCATCAGAGAAAATCAGATGTTGTCTTAGATAAAGAAGAATAAAGTAAGTGCAAGGTTATTTATTTTGTTGTAAAATACATTAAATTGCTTTTAATTGAATACAATTTCTAAACATGCTTACAAAATTAGCTAGAATATAAGTTTAGAAGCAGATGAGGGTTTTCTTCTGTCAAGGTAATGGAATGAGGCTATAAGAGGAATAGTGTCAAAATATGTACAAACTCAATGGCCCACATAAATCAATTTTTGATCTATGGCCTTGGTCATAAGGCATTCTCCATTTTAGAAGATTGTTGCAATCTTCTTGGTGGGTATAGAAAATATTTTTCCTGCACAATAATTCAATATATATCACCAAAATTTGAAATAAATGGAAACTTTGTTGACATTTTCTTCAGACAGATGTAAAATTGTTCCTCCTAAACACTGCTAGCTTCTGCAACGAGAGAGTTCCTTAACAATTCTTGTCAGCAAGGGCTCCTTTCTGCCTTCACAAACAATGTCCTTTCCATGCACATACTACCAGAAGCACAGCTCAGCCACTGGACACCTGGGACCATCTCAAAGTTCAGCCCAGCCAACCTTAGTAAGGTCAGTCAATTACTGGAGGAGATTGGCAGAAGGTGGGGTGGTACCTGCCATTTGACCACAGTCCTGGCAAGCATGACTCAGTTTCTAATAGCAACAAGCTCAAAGTTCCTCTGTGGGGCAGCTTTATAATTAAATGTTAAAATAAAAGAGCTTTTCTAGGAAGGAGCACATTTCTTTCCCAAATCCCAATTTAATATTGGTTTTTAGAGCTCATAGCTTGGTAGAAAATGCAGCCTTAAGATTCTGCACATTTAAGCAGGTAGTATGTGATTAAGAAGCTGCCATGGAGGCACGTCTTTTAAATCCAGTGCTTTTGTTTGCTGCATGTATGGCTTACGAACGTGGGCAATTGGATGTCGTATTCCCTCCATGTTAATACAATACTTTATCATGAGCATTTTGGTGAATTCACCCTGCAAGGATGGGGATGGAGAGAGTGAAGTATGCTGATAGTCTGAGGGTCCCTAGAGCTATAGGGTGATGATGTTAAGATCCTGTGCACCGACCTGACCTCGGCATGATGGAGGTGTCTCTCCTGAGAGACAGTGTGATGGAAATTCAAAATATGGGTGACTGTACAGCAGCAGGTGCAGGAAAGGAAATATGGGAATAAGAAGTTCAAGGTGGGGGAGAAGCGAACCAAAGAATAGAAACGGACCAACCAGCCACAAATAAATAGAAAGGTAATAACAAAGGGATGATTTTCAGAAATTGAGGACCTTCATTATGGTTTCAGTTCTGTTCTTGAACGTTGTGTGACTTAGGACAAGGTGTTTAACGTCTCTGGGTCTCAGTTTCTCTGCTAAGCATGTTTGGACAGTATGATTCACATGGTACTTTATAATTCTAATATCCTACTCTTCTATTATCTCTACCACTAATATTTTTTTAAAGATTAAAAAAAATTTTAACATTATTTATTTTTGAGAGATGGAGAGAGACAGAGCATGAGTGGGAGAGGGGCAGAGAGAGAGGGAGACATAGAATCCAAAGCAGGGTCCAGGCTCTGAGCTGTCAGCACAGAACCTGATGTGGGGCTTGAATCCATGAACTGTGAGATCATGACCTGACCTGAAGTAGGATGCTTAACCAACTGAGCCACCAGGCGCCCCTCCAACACTAATATTTTTATTTTAATATGTTCATAGATTTTATTTTATCAAGACACAAATGTATCTTGATTTTTGATGATATATGATAATGATTTAGCAAGAATATTAGTTAAAAAGTGGCCAAACAAAAAGACTTACAATTCACAAAGTTCTTCTTCCTTGAAAACTCACAATATGCACATATGTTCCCAACCTACCCAGTTGGAGATACTAGGGAAAATGTAGACTACAACCTGTATAGAAAAATCTGTTCTTGTAAATCAGCTAAGCTGGTTAGAAAGTGTTTTCCAAAAATTCAAGACTATGCTGTTACAATACTTACTATCTACTTTCAATGGTTACTTTATGAATATTCTAACATAAACCAAATGCTTTCCTATGATTAATAAAATTACTAGGAAGACATTATTGGCATAGTCCAAAACTTAGGTGAAAGCCTCCTTGCTATTACCCACTGAGCCATAATTTGGAAAAGAGCAAAAAAGTAAAAATGCATATAAATCCAATGGAATAACCCAAGAGTTTTGAATTAATAAATCACAAAAATCAATTCATCCAGACAAGGAGGCATAAACTAAAGATTCATACTGTGTTTCCATGTGGACCACTCCTTCACAGGTGTTTTAGTTTTTACTAATTAATAAGAGAGCATATGTTAATGGTATACTGAGCATTGGGCTAAATGTCAGGGGAATTTGGATTTTATTTTGGATTCTCCCATTTTTTTATTCCATGACTCTGCTCTCAAACCCTGTGCCTCTGTTTCCACATCTGTTAAAATAGAGATAATAATATTTACTTGACCAATGTGAGATTAAAATATGGACTTTATTTTATTTGTTTAATGTTTTTATTTATTTCCAGGAGAGAGAGAGAGAGAGACAGCGCGAGCAGGGGAGGGTCAGAGAGAGAGGGAGTCACAGACTGAAACAGGCTCCAGGCTCAGAGCTGGCAGTCAGCACAGAGCCCGACGCGGGGCTCGAACCCACGAACCGCGAGATCATGACCTAAGCGAAAGTCGGACGCTTAACCGCCTGAGCCACCCAGGCGCCCCTAAAATATGGACTTTAAAGGAACTAAAGCCCATGAATTTCCAGAAAATACAGGATTATTGCTATTTTACTAGGACTGAAGCTGTTGGTAAAAGTATCATCCATAAGCGTCTATAAAAGTCTTGTAAGTTTCTCAGAGCCCTTGAAAAGTTCCAGGTATGCCTATGATCTTGCAGTGGGTGGACTCACCCTTTATGCCCTCAGGCCACCCAGCTGCCCTGTGCCTTTTAGTCCCATGGTGAGGCTGAATGCCAGCTACAAAACTGGGTTGGCAAATCCTTAAAACAGACTCTGAAACAAAATGTCTTAGAAGGACAAGTGAGAGTGTTGTTACTCCAAATGTAACCTTCAGGCGCTGTTGAATAAGACCCTTTCTCACAGAACAAATGTAGTGTGATGATTCCCGTAGAACACAGGGCTCCCAGAGGTGAGTAAATTGGCCCACTCTGTTAAGGTGATCCCTTTGTTACAGTGAGAGCTTCATCCTCACCTTAAAGGCAAAGGAGACCACAATCTTCCTTCTCCATTTATGAAACAAGAATGTCAGAGGCCAAGGCTCAGCCTCTTTTGGCTGTGCTCAAGTTGCTTCTAATTCATCTCTCCCTGGCAAGGAGAGACTGGTCCCATGCCTGCAAGCCTGGCAGGTATTGGCAGCTCTCGACACCAGGGGAGTTCCCTTGAATGGGAATATTATTGAAGGAAGAACATGTGGAAGGAGGCTTTGCCCTGCACCCTTGTTCTTGGCTCTCAAACATACTATGCAGCCCATGAGAGTTATAAGCTTCAGAGTGAGTGTAGCCATTGTCATAGAATTAGGACGCTTATACTCCAACAACTCAAACCCTTCTTGAATGTATAAATATGTTTTCACCCACTGTAAATAAGACCCTTTAGGCAAGCAAGAACTCCCTGAAATGTGAAGTAATATATTCATTCTATCATCATGGTATGAGATCAGAGGTTTATGAAAATTCCTCTCAACTCATCAAATTTCTCTGTATTTGGAGGATGCCAAGTTACTGCATATATCAGTCTTCATGGGGTTCATGGTTTTCCTTGTGGGCATGTGAAATTCACTCACAGCCCTAGGAACACTTTTGTAAGACCATATGCGTGAAGCCAGCCCTATCTGGTGTTTTTCACACCACAGAGAATTTGGCTTTTTGTTAATTGCATCTACTGTCTTAAAGCTCATTATAGACTCTTTCCTAAGTGATATTAATAGTAATGGTGGTCCTTTATTAATAATGTGTAAGAACAATAGCTTTCATTAAAACAGTATCAGTTAAGTGATAAGAGAAATGGTTAAGGTTGTGGTTAGGAAATGGGTCTGTGGATATCAACACTACTACAGTCACTTATTCTTTCCTTTATAAAGCAGAAATAAATATAACGACTAAGATCTTCACAAAATTCTGTCACAGTTACAAAATTGCAGGCCGGTGTTTTCATTTGTAGGAGAGTTTCCTTAGTGGTATTGCGTGATGGGGCATCCCCAGGAGAAAAAACAAAGGATTATTTGCATGACGTCCCTGTGTACCCTGTGGACTTCTTTCATTCTTCCCAGGCTGGAGTCCCATCAGCAGCAAAAATGTGAGCAGGTACGCTGGTTCCTTGTCCTGATTTTGTTATGTAATGCCATGTGCCTAAATGACAACATCTCTGGCTCAGTTTTTCTTATCTGTGAGATGGGAAGGACTCTATCTATCTATCTGAAATTTCATTTCCTTTGCAAGGTAAAACTGCACTCAGTGATGCTTTCTAAAGTGCTCTGAAGGATCACACCTCTGCTTCTGGCCTGTCTCCCACCTTATGGCTCCCACACCATTTCAATTTTTTAAAAATGTTTTTATTTATTTCTGAGACAGAGAGAGACAGCGTGAACAGGGGAGGGTCAGAGAGAGAGGAAGACACAGGCTCCAGGCTCTGAGCTAGCTGTTAGCACAGAGCCCAGTGTGGGTCTCGAACCCACGAACCGTGAAATCATGACCTGAGCCGAAGTCGGATGCTCAACCGACTGCGCCACCCAGGGGCCCCACCCCCACGCCATTTCAGACACCCAGAGCCCCTCAGCTGTGTTCAGTGCATACACCTGCTCAGCGCCGCCCAGACCTCTACTCCCCGTCCTTCTTTCTACCTTCGAAAGGATAAGTCAAGATAAATGTTCTTAACGAATTCATCGCAAGCTGTTTAGTGTTGTTAAAGAGTCATGGTATTCCCTCCTCTCTCCCTTCTTTCCTTTCTTCTCCTCCCTCACTTTCGTCTAAGTGGGTGTATCACACCAAAATGCACGTGAGGTAAGAGGCATAGCATAAATTACAGATATGTCACAACTATAAAATAAGTAAAACAAGGTAGGACGCCATTATTTGAATAATGTAAGATGGATGGAGGAGAAATTATTCAAGAAAATTGAAGCTAGGGAAGCTCCTGAAATTTGGTGAAGTTTAATATTAAGCTTCCAGGCGGACAAGACAAAGAGGAAAACAGCAAAAAAGTATTTAAGGGAGACAGATTTTCCAATCCTAATTCTTAGAAAAACTGATCATCTGCAAACTCCTAGGTGCCTAAATAAGAAAGTGGATAATATCTTCAATTCAGGCTTTTGTTGTTATTGTTGTTAAAGTAGAGGTAGTCTCCATACCGTAACTATATTTTGTTAAGACACATCACATATTAACCACTTAAAAAATACAAGCTGACTTCATTTATAAGGAGACTCCTGGGGCATTTGCATTTTTAGAGTAGGCTCTGATCTTGCTTAACTCTGAAGTTACTTACAAGACCGACATCTATGGTGTTAGGACATGAAAGCTGGTTTTGGAAGTAGGAATCTCTCCCATAATAACCGTTTGCTGCGCTCACTCTGGCTTTGCATTGTATATTTTCCCCATAGTGTCGGATTCAGCGTGCCTGCGAGAGCTTTATGTCCATGTCTGGTGTTTGCAATGGGGACTCAGTAATGGAGATAGAGCCTTGGAGAAAATGGCCCAGAAATCATTTACACCAAGCCGTAGCTATCATTTTCACTTCCCTTGGAAGGAGAACTCCCTGGAATTATTTCACATATAACCTCTCAAAAAATATTTTAAAGCAAGCTTCATTAATCATTACTTGGCCCTTTCCTAGGCCTTGTCCCAAAGGTCTGGTGAGCTTTAAATCCCTAGTGACACCTGCTGGGCAGACCTCTGCTCACTGCGGCGGGCTTTCCATCAGCCCGCCTCTTCTTTAACATGCAAAGCTGCAGGCCTCGGGGTAAGAGGCTGGCTGCCGCCTCCTCCGCTCAAAGCCAGCCTGCTCATTTCTCATGCAGGTGACCTCTGCCAGAAAAACTCTGCACCAGAGTCTCCCCGATTGTCGCTCGGGGGTTGATTTCCACCCTGTCCAGCCCCCAGGAAACAAATGCGGACCTACCAAAGTTGGAGGGAGAGAAGGCAGGGGCAGTGAGAGAGAGAAAAGACATCCAACAGCATCCGCCCCCACTCCCAGCCCCAAGTTACTCTAAGCTGCTTCTTTGTCTGAAAACTCCAAGGTGAAAGATGCTACTTGAGCCGTATGTTTTGTTCAAGCACAAACCAAATTATGCTATACTTGCTTATATCTGAACATATTGGTTTATCTTACATAGAGTTTAATTGATGCAAACTTGAACTTCAGTATGTTAGAATTTTAGAGAAAACACCATCCCTGTGATTTAGATTGCTGTGTTTTCCCTTTGAACAAAGCAAAGAGGAGCAAGGCAATTACACCTCAGCCTCTGTTTCTATCGTCCATATTCACCAGCCATTACAAAAATAGTGATTAACCTCTTGTAGTGCTACCTCTGTGCCCTTTACTGTCCAACTGCAAAATTTCTTTCTGAGTCAACATCTGCATCCTTGGACAGATCAACTAGTGTGTAAAGTCCGTGTTAGCTGATCAAGCATGGCTTTGTTTGCATTTACTCACTGCGCATCCAGCACTGCGTAAGTGGTTTTGCATATTAACTAAGTGCACAGTAACCTTCCTTTACCTCCTCAGAGCTCCACCCCCTCCCACCCAGCCTCCTCGGGAAATCAGCGCTGTTACTCTCCGCGGAGGAAGCTGCCAAGAGGTTGCCATGGCAACTGTTCTGCTTTCAGCAGCTACTTTTCTGGTTTAAGGGGGGTGGGGGGGGGCGGTGGAGAAAAGAAAAAAAAAAAAAAAACCTGAGGAGAACTAGGCGGCTTTCTGATCAGAGTTCAGATAAAGAGGGTCACAGTAATTTGCGGGCACTGCCTAAAATAACCCGATGGGTTAGAGAGCTCCAGCACCAGAAGCAAACTAAAAAGGTAAGTACAGTGGAAGGGCGATAATGAAATCATTTGGTAGTGGACTTAAGCTGAAGCATTTCAAATTGGTATCACTCCATCTCATCCAGGATGCTGTTTTATGAATCTTTTCATTTTTGTCCAGAGCCAAACAAAGATGATGAGTTTTATGAGATTATAAACGGCAAGGGGGTAAAACAGCACCAGGATGGGAATCTCACATCTGAAAGTCATTTTCTAGAACTTCATTCAGCACCGGAACAATGCAGCATTCAGGCATAGTGAGCTGAAAGTGCTCGGTGCGCCAGGTCAAGTCGGCCACCTCTGAGCTCCTCTCCAAGAGCGGTTTGCCAAGGTGGCCAGGGAACAGTCTACTTTCAAAAGGAAGGTCTGGGCTGAGGCACGGAAAATTGCAACAAGTCCAAATACGGAAAGCTGGGCAAGTCAGACTGGTGGGTTTCATGGACATGCAGAGAGCGGTGCTAAAAACTCCAGGCACCTGGTTCCTGGGTTTCGGCAGCTGCCCATGAAGGAGCTGAGCAGGTCGGTGATTCCTGGCAGAAGGCGTGCAGGTCTTGGGCAGGGCCAGGTGGTGAGTGATGGACCTGGGCAGCCCGTGCCTCGTCTTCCCTCTTTCTGCTACTCGCCCCCAGAGCACACCTGCTCCCCCCCGCGAGCAGCTTCCCAGGGCTCCTCTGCAGTCCACTCCTCCTGTATTATTTATTCACCAGTGATGAAAATCTACCGCCCTAACCGTCCTCACACAAGCTACAGTGTTTTGAATCTGTATAATTTTGTTCAGAACCTAGTAACAGTGCAACATCCAGATAAATCTAAAAAAGCATTATAAGGTAGGCAAAACAAGTCCAAAGAGACCAAATGGGAAAGTAACATGTAGTGTCATTCTGGTGGCATTGCCATTCATGTTTGGTGACAAGATTATGAACATTCCTAGTGGAGTAGCGAGGGAAGCACTAAGATCTCAGAAGTTAACACCTCTTTGAGGACATAATGGTAGTGCAGCAAACAGTCTTGAGTCTGGAGCAAAGACAGCTGGCTCTTTGCATGTAATGAATCGTTTCTGACCTGAAATATAGCCAATCCTGCCTAACCCCCTGATATGATCTGAAATGTGTGTCCTCCCCTCCCCATCCATATGTTGAAATCTTGACCCCCCCCCAAAGATGATGATATCAGGAGGTAAGGTCTTTGGGAGGGAATATAGTCATGAGGGTGGAGCCCTAATAGGATTAGTGCCCTTATAAAACACACTCCACAGAGGCCCCTAGCTCCTTCTAGCATGTGAGGGTACAAGAATAAATCTGCACCTGATGAGGATGCTTATCTCACCTTGGTCTCAGACTTCTAGCCTTCCAGAATTGTGTGAAAGAAATTTCTGTTGTTTATGAGCCACTCAGTCTCTGGTATTTTGTTATAGGAGCCCAAAGAGATTCAGACACTCCATATTGTGGCAGAGATAATAGGTTTATTGTCAACTTTCTTTAGACTTTTGCCATCTAGATCTAGCTATAGATGTAGACATAGATGTAGTCTCTGACAAGCAGAGGCATTTTTAAATAGGAAGAGGTGAAAAGAGAAGGTAATAAAATATAAACCGCGGGAACAAGACATGACTAAAGCCAATTTCTCTAAAGCAGGATTCAAAATATTACACGGTTTGTATCCTGAATGATCTTGGCAGATGACAAGAAAGAGTGAAACTGACGTTTGAAGACATAAAATAACATAAGGCCGAAGACCTGAAGCGTTTGATTGAAGCCAAGTAGTGCAAAGTGCTAGAAGGCACCCTGGCCAGGAACAGAGATGTGAGCTCCCGTCTCCATCGGGGCTCTCCTCAGTCGAAGCTGAGTGCTAAGAGTGAAAAAGGAGTGGGCTCTCCTGTGTATCGTTGATGTGGCTGGAGGCCCTATATTATGTAACAGTAACAGGATAGAGAATGACAGTTCCTCACAGACTACACTAAATGTGATTAAATTATCTCATCAGCTTTATACTCCTGAGTATTTGTACAATGCCAGAAAACCATCCGTTGATCTGACCTGTCTGCTAGACCCTTAGCACAGGCTCGAGGTGTGTGTTAGTGTTCAAAGAAATCCGTCCCTCAAACGGCTGATGGGACGGATACCAAGTCTGATCGATGCAGCAAGTGAGTCCAAGAACGAGGCATGGAGAAATAATAAGAGAGTGGTGGAAGGTGGCATGAAAGCAAAGAGAAAATTCAAAAATTTGTTTTAGCTCTGCAACAGCTTCTATTCCATTCCTTTTTCACTGACCTGATCTAATTCAAGCAG